CWRCARCMAYYAATGGGACAAGTTTTTCTTGAAATAGATTGAATGCTCCTGATGTGCTCTTCAGGTACCTTCCTCCGACAACAAATCGGTGTTATTTGGTCAGATATACTGCTGMAGGTATGCCTGTGGGGCTTTGCATGTGGCTGTTTTTCAAACCATCAGAGCCATATTTTACCAAACATTCGATCTGAAAGGGTGTACAATATAAAGATTATTAAAAAAGGATTATTAAAGCCACCCTTTTTCAACTGTAAAAAGAGGTGCTTTTGGTCATTCGAAGAGTGAACTATGTCTACTACAATCGATTTCTATCAGCCCAATGAAACCCAGGCCAGGGAATACGCCATTTTCCATTTCAAAGCGAGCGATCGCTGTTTATGTTGACAACAGGCTATCATGGTGCAGACACCTTACCTAAAAACAATAGAAAACAGAAAAACTGCTGAWATTATAATAGCTCTAGAAATTTTCCAAAGTCTTTTCCGATTTGAGGACAAGTCTGTTAGTAAGCTAAAATTCTAGGTCTCTCGTGCGTGGGAATCGAACTTATCCTAAAATCGGAGAAAATTTTAAAAAATTTCTAGAGCTATTTTAATTTCAACATTTTTTTTTTTTTTTGATTTTAGTAAGGTCTCTGCGCAAGTGAGTCTGTTGTTTACTAGAACAGCGGTCGCTAGCATTGAACTGGAAAGGTATTTCCAGTATTTCCTGGCCTGGTTTTCAATTTTGCAGCATCGGTCGACGAGTGGGAGGCGGAGAAAATAATTTGTTTGTTAAAGGAAATGATCTTGCTTTTTCCCAACCTATTTAGAATCAAACAATAAATACCCTTATGGCAACATACATCACAAGTTCTTGTCTACTGAATGTATTTTGTGAATCGAAATATCTTGCTAAACCCAATCATAAACAAAAGAATGGAAGATTACATAGAAATTATTTTCTTTTTCCCTCGGAGACTCGTCTKGATATCTTTTGTGTGAAGCTCAGCTTGATAATATAATATTGTGTCAATTAAAAYGCAATAACAAACCAGCATGCAATGTGATTACAACATTAAAACAACTAAAGAAGGCCACTCAACTTGGACTCTTTATTTTAATCTAAATTCCTCAATTGCAAAAAGCTATATTACTTGGACAAKGTTTTTTTATCTAGATATATATACACCTAATTGCATAAACTTTGACACAGAGAAAATAGAATATTTGCACGTTCTTTTTTAGTCTCCTCACAGCCGTTCTTAGTG